ACGCCTGTCCCCAGCCCCTGGTGTCCCCTGCAATCTTAGGTGTTTCCTGGCTTGTAGAGCCATCACTCCAATTCCGTGTCTGTCTTCACGCCGCCTTCATCGCTCTGCACCCTCTCCTCTTTTTATAAGGACACTTGTCACTGGATGGAGGGCCCACCCTCAATCCAGAATGATTCTGTCTCAAGATCCTTAAGTGATTACATCTACGAAGACCCTGTTTTCAAATAAGGCCACATTTGGAGATTCCAGGTGGGCAAGAATTTTTGGAGGATACTTTGCAGTCCGCTACAGACCTTAAATCGTGCGGTTTTAACAGGCCACCTGCAGCCCTCTGGAGGATATGAGGACGGGCTGGGTCATCTTAAACAATTCACAGGAACAACAGTAGCAGATGCTACAGATCCTTCACTGTATCCCCTCCTCCACCACTACCAAACGTAGGGGCCTGACTTCTAACCGGCCGCGCTGGAAGGCTGTCTCTGGGGTCCCTCTGCTCACACACAGTCGACCAGAAAAGTGACGTCCTTAGCAGCCCTAACCAATGACTGCGGGGCACGGTGTATAAATGCTCCAGTGTCCTCGCCAAGGCCACTCAGAGGGACATATTTTACACTGGGTCCAAGAGTTCCCCAAGGAGATTAAACTTCAGGCAACTGGAAATTTCATACTCAGCTAAAGGGATGTCAAAATGTGCAGCCACTTCAGAAAGCGACCTGGCTGTTTTTTTCAAAAAGTTAAACATATTTACCGTAGGACCCAGCAATTCCACTCCTAGGTACGTAGCCAAGAGAAATGAAAACTTATGTTCATGCAAAACGTGACATGAATGTTCGTTCATAGTGCTATGATTCATAATCGTCAAAAAGTTGAAATAATGCAAATGTCCATCCACTAATGAATGGATAAATAAATGTGGTCTATCCATACAATGGAATATTATTTGACTACTAATGGAAGATTTGACTTTGGGTAGTGAACACACAATGCAGTATACAGATGATGTATCATGGACTCGTACACCTGAAACTTACATAATTTTATTAACCAATGCCACTCCAATAAATTTAATATTTTTTTAAAATAAAAAGGAGTGGAGTACTGATACATGCTACAACATAGACGAACCTCGAAAATAAGTTAAGCTGAGCGAAAGAAGCCAGACACAAAATAATACATACTGTAAGATCCCATATATAGGAAATATCAAAAGCGGAAAATCCATACAGACAGAAAGCAGTGGTTGGTAGAGGAGAAGGCAATGGGGAGTGAATGCTAACGGGCATGGGGTTTCTTTTTTGGGGTGATGAGAATGTTCTGGAATTAGAGAGTGATGGCGGTTATACAGCCTTGTGAATTTACTAAATGCACTGATTCGTACACTTTCAAGTGGTGAATTTTATGGTATGTAAATTATATCTTATCTTAGTCCATTCAGGCTGCTTTGACAGCAGACCACAGACTGGGCAGCTTATAAACAACAGACATTCATTGCTCACAGTTCTGGAGACAGGAAGGCAGAGATCAGGGTGCCAGCCTGGTCAGGCAAGGGCCCGTGTGACTCTCCTGTCCCACAACGGCCCTTTTCCCAATGGTTTTAACATCATTGAAGATTTTTGTCTGGATCAATCACTATTATGGTGACTTTAAAGAGTGTTTAAATTTCTAACCATCTTTCCTTCTACAGTTATTCATTCATTCCCTGTTCACATTTTTTAAATTTTAGTACCATTATGAACTCATGGACTTTTATTCTTGAAGTAAAACTCGCATAAGATTCACTGTTTTAAAGTATACAATCAGTGGCATCGCGTATATTCACAATGTTTAACCACCACCATTTCTGTCGAGTTCCAAGACGTGTGTGTCTCCCAGGAGAAGACTTCTAACCCACTGAACAGTCAGTCTCTCTCCCCCTACCCTCTCCCCACAGGCTCTGATCTCATCCACTTATTGTCTCCACGGTTTTGCCTTTTCTAGATATTTCCTAAGAGCAATCATACAATATGTGGCCTTTGGGGTCTGATTTATTTCAATTAGCATCGTGTTTTCAAGGTCCATCCACACCGTAACATATATCAGAACTTGGTTCCATTTTACGGCTGGAAAATGCCCCATTATATGGATTACCGCTTGCTATTTTTCCATTTTCCAGCTGATGGGCATTTGGGTTGTTTGGAATTTTTTTTTTTTTTTTTTTTTTGGCTATTACAATGTTCTCATAAACATTTGCGCACAAGCGTTTCGCTATGGTGTGAATATTTGTGTCACCCCAAAAGGGCCTTCACCAGAACCTGATCATCCTGGCACCCTGATCTTAGACTTCCAGCCTCCAGAACTGTGAGAAATAAATGTCTGTTGTTTGTAAACCACACAATCTATGATATTTTCTTAGAGCAGTCCAAAGGGATAAAGGCCCATTTGTTTGAGTGCCACTTACATAGATGAGGATGATTATTTTATTCTTTCCACTATTTGTTTCAATGCTCATATTGTCCCACATCTGACCAGTGAAAGCCCCTTTGTATTTTCATGTTTAAATAAATTTCTAACTATCCAAGTGATACATGATGCAGCGCTTTAAACATTAAAACGAAATCTTCTTGGACCTACCCCCAGCCCAGCCCCCTCCCAGGAAGAAACTGAGGTTTCAGTTTGAAGGCATCTTTCCAGAATTTTCTCTGTGCGTTCACATAACATGCATATTCTGAGAAAACAGTATTTTGTGAGTTTTTCCTTCTTACGTAACTAATATTATACAGGACATATGACACTGTAACTTGCCTTTTTTAATCTAACAATATGACTTGGTAAAATTAATGAAATTGGTAGGTTCTTTAAAATACACCAGATCCTGTCAGATCACCTCAAGAAGTGGAAGAGGGTTGCACCTGGAACATTCCACATGTTGTATCTCACTCATTCATACAACAGTTCCAGGCAGGTATTATTATCAGTAAATTTAAGTAAAATTAAGTTTCAGAGAAGTAACTTGCCCGCGTACCTAGCACGTGAAAAGCTCTCCGTGATTATGTGCTGAATGAGGGACTATGATTCATCATGCTAGGGATCTGAAGCCAGCTCTGTCCAACCAAAGGTTAGCTTGGTGTCTGTCCACACAGAACCAGGAACCAGAGAGGTGATTACTGTGCATTTGTAACAGCTGCTGTTAGAAGCTGGTGGGAGCCAAGGGGGCAGAATTATAATTATCTGCTTTCAGCAGTCCTAGGGGAAGAGATCTCTCTCCAGGAGGACAAAATCTTCTAGGACTGATTAAAAAACACATTAAGCATTTGGTAAACACACAACGTTTGGAAAGGGGGGTGTTTTGAATACCCAAGCTAATACTAATCACCTGATAGCAATTTCCTGCAAGCTGGCTTCTTATCACACATCTAGCAGTTCAGTCTATCTTCCCTTTGTTGCATACATAATGTCATTAGCCCAGGCAGCAGGGGTAATGTACATTCCAGCATACATGAGTTAGCACCATAACTCTTGCATCTCCAAGCCTTGAAGAAGACTCTCAGAGAAAGAGATGTGCTTGGGGTGCTAAAAGGGTCTTTCACTCTAAGGCTCCATCCAACAGACTCACTCAGACACTTCAGAGAACTGAGTTTGCATCCCAGCTCTGCCACTCAGGAGCTGGATAACTTTGAGTAAGTCACTTCACCTCTCTGAGCCTCAGGGGTGGGTGTGTGGCTGGAGAAAGAACTTAAAAGGCAGAGGGGCCAGCAGAGTGGCTTGTAAATAACTGAGACTCAGAAACATATAGAGCCACCCTCCCCCATGCCCTTCTGGCAGCTACATCCCCTGGGGACAACTGGACCAGGACTACAATGGGATCCCAAGATGGCCAGCTGGCTCTCTGTGTACTGTCCTGGGGAGTTCAGGAAACACAATCCGCTTCCTTAAAAAACACTTTTAAAGAAAAAAAATCTGTGTTGCTTGGTTACCCTATCAACCCTTCATGTTTTATCAACGATAACAATGAAATTGATGTTGACTCTCTTTTGTATTGAAAAGAGAACATCTACGTAAAAATAATTAAGACAAAGGGTGCCAGTGAGGTGCTGTGTTCGTGCATGTGTGTGTGTGTACATGTGTGTGTGAGACACACATGTGCACATACATTTTACATCCGTGGTCCTCTGTGCTTGGAAGTTCACTTGAGGGGAACATTTGTTTTAAACTTCATTTGCTGTTATATTCCACTTCAGACTTAAGATTCTTCATTAGCCTGGCATTGGGGACTTGATGAGTGGATGAATGAAATAACTACCAGCTATTATTAATAAGTACTAAGAGCAAAGATGACAACAATAATTAACCCATTTCCCGTTTGCCTGGAGAATACTCGCCGGCAACACTTGCAGCTGCAGTGTTTACCCCAAGAAAACTCACAGATTATAGCGCTAACCCTACCCTCAAAGTTCGCCACAAAACATCTCGCTTTTGTGATTATTTTCACATCGCTCTAGTAGATCCATAGTCTTTGGAAACAAATGACATCATTCTATTTATAGCATTCTGTTTTCAGTAGTGGTATTTCCATTTACAAAATGTAGTAATTCCCAATCACTGAAAATGTCAAATTCTAGAAAATGCAGCATTCCTACGTGTGATGTTCACACTGGCAGCGAGCTGCACTTTTTTCTTTTCTCAATGGGGAAAGGGTTAATAAATAGCTGCAGGCTGGTTAACAGCACAGGCTCTAGCATCCTACTAACCCACGTTCGAATCCAACCCTCACTACTTAGTAGCAGAGTGACCTAGGGCGAGTTATCTGACAGCTCCCCAAACGCAGACCAGTCCCACCCAGGCCAGCCATCCCAGCAAATTTAGGCAGGCGACAGGAGAACCTCACCTCAGCCTCTACTACAGGGCCTCCCAAAACTCAGAGATAGGACTGCACGCGGCAGCCAGTGGCCCCAGTACGCATGCGCGGCCTGGCAAGTGGGCGTGGCCACTGGGCGGTGCGGACGCAGCCACGCAGAGGGGGTGGGGCCACGCCTGCGCAGGCCGCCTATTATAGCGGCCCTTTGAACCCAGCACGAGAGGGGTCGGCGGGTTCCGAGGATGGTCGGCGAGTTCCGACGGGCGGCCGGTGCTGGGGTAAGCTCCTGGGGAAGGCGGAGGAGCGGGGTAGGGTGCTCCCTTCAACACAGGGAGCCCTGTGTTGAAACCTGGGCTCCCACAGGCTTGAAGCCCAACTCCTCACAGCCTCAGATAGAGCGAGCACAAACGATAATGTTGATCATTGAATCAGTGGGAGTTTATGGTTGTTTATATGCTACGCTCTCAACTTCCTTGTCTGCTTGAAATTTTTCATGATAAGTTGGAAAAAATAAAAAGGCCAAAAAAACTTTACCGGTATAAATGGAAATTCAGATTCCTTGCCGTAAATAGAAGACTACTATGAAAACGAATACAGTGCAAACAAAACAACACAATTCTAGCTGGATTCTTCTCCCTTGCCCAGGCTTGGAGACTTTCTTTTTAGGAAAACTTTAAAGAGAATTGGAAAGGGAAGTACTTCACCCCCACGTGATAGAGAGCTATTTACAACCTGGCTGGGGGATGTTTACCGTGTCGCCTTTTTAGGCACCGGCTGTACTGAGGACACTTCTTGCCTCGCAGGTGCTGCCGTCCCAAGATTAATGTGGAGCCCGGGCCATGGTAGATGGCTCGCACCCCAGCCATGGATGAGGTCACTTTCAAAAGCGACACTGTGCTGTCAGACGTTCACCTCTACACTCCCAACCAGAGACACCTCATGGTGCGGCTAAACAGCATGGGGCAGCCCGGTAAGGTCCTGGGGAGGGTCCCAGCCCCCCATGGATTCCATTTTGTTTTCTGCTTTCTCATACTCATTTTAGGGGGGAAAGATAGGGAAGACTGGATTGCTTAACTGTTACCGTCACACCATTTCTTAAGTGCCTTTCTTTCATCGAGTACGCTCCTGTGCTTTCCTGAGCACTTACTGTGTGCCAGGCCCAGGACTTGATGCAGAAGTGAATGAACCCCTGAGCTCTCTCAGGGAGCCCAAGGTCCAGTAGGGAAAACAGGACACTGGGGCTCCATCTGCCCACTGCCCTTCATTTCCTCTGCCCCTACCCAGCTCAGCTGCCTTCATCCCTTGCTGGCTGCCTCCAGCTCCTCCCACCAGAGCTCCCTGGGTTTTCTCCTGCAGTTTCTCCCACCCGTCTCCCCAGAAGGCAAGAGTATCTCTTGAAAATGCATATCACATCACTGCCCTGATTGAGGCCCTCCAGTGGCTTCCCCTTGCTCTTAGAATAAATGCAGACTCCTGGCTTTGGCCTGTGAAGCGCAGCCCGACCCAGCCCCTGCCTGGTACGTCCACCCTTATTTCCTTCTCCGCCCACTGCTCTGCGGCTGCTTTCTGCTCCGTTCTGTCCCTTACACAGTGCACACACCTTCCTCCCTCTGTGCATTTGTTTTTGCCATTCACTCCGCCCAGAACATCCCTCTAAGCCCCGGCTCCTCAGACGTCGCCTTAGACAGGCCTTCCCTGGCCACCTTCCCCAGGTCCCATCACCCTGTATTAACTTGTTATTCTGGTGTGACTGATAACTCCCCTTTCCCTCATGTCTCAGTTTGGTTACCTGGATTCCAGAAACTGAGGCTCAGAACAGGTAAGCGACTTGCCCAGGGTCAGACAGCATGGAGAGATGGAGGACTCCAGCCTAGGCCTGTCTGCTCCAGTCCTTGTACCTCCCACCTCCAGCCCGCCTCTCCTGGCACACATACTCTTACAGAAACTTGTCCCAGCTACCAGATGTAAGGGACACTTGGTACCCTTTTCCTGTCCTCTAGACCGTAAGGAGCAGAACAGTGTAGTGAGAGGAGGATCAGCTTAGGAGTCAGGCAGACTAGGTTTGCATCTTGCCTCAGCCACCTTCAAAGCTGTGTGACTTTGTCAGCTCACTTAACTTCTAAGCCTCAGTTTCCCCGTCCGTAACAGCTGATAGTACCGTCTTCGTAGTGACTGAGGATTAAATGAGACATTGTGAGTGGGCCAAGCGCCTGCATCGTAGGTGCTCATTAAATGGTAGTTGCTCTTGGTGGTGGTTTTGGCTGCTTTGGTGGCCCCTGTGTCACGGCTGAATCAAATGGGCCTTTTCTGCTGGCATTAGTATCTCTCCACCTGGCCTTTAAGACTCTTTCCAGGTGGAAATCAAAATTTTCTGAGAGAGGAAGGGAAAGAAAAGACAGCTAGAAATAGTGTCCTTTTATGTTTCGTCTTGCCTTTCAGTTTTCCTGTCCCAGTTCAAGTTTGTGTGGAGCCAAGACTCTCGGACAGTCTCAGGGGCTAAGGGTGGTGATCACAGAGCTGTTCCCACAGAGGAGACTCCTGCTGGGACAGTCTGCACCGGGTCTCCTCCCCGGAGAGGCTGGAGAGGGAGAGGCCGCAGCAGTGAGGGTTTTTCCCTCCAGGCCTGCGCTGACACCGCCGGCCAGGAGGGGGCGGGAGCTCAGCTGGACGAGGATGGGGATTTGGACGTCGTGAGAAGACCACGGGCTGCCTCTGACCCTGACCCCACAGTGCCCCCGAGAGACAAGGTACACCCCATGATTCTAACGCAGGAAGAAGATGACGTCCTGGGAGACAAAGCACAAGAGAACAGCACCCACGATATCATCAGAATAGGTAAATAAAGGCTTCGCTCACCTGCCACCAAGGCAGCACCACAGTGTTGATCAGGGAACAGTGTGTTTGAGCATTGGCTCTGTGTTCAGGCCCAAGCCAGGGTGTCGTAGCCATTAGCCATCACCTCCTCCAGGAAGCCTTGCTGCTACTGCCTCCCGCATCGACGTTCTGACCCAGCTCAGCCTGCTGGGGAGGTGTGTCAGGGGCAGGGGGTGTGGAACACTCAGCCACCCTGACTGGCAGCAGGGAACCATGAGAGATTCTGGAGCCAGAGTGAATCTGAAAGAGTCTTGTGGGCCAATCAAGTGGACCAAGACCTGGGGGCTGGGAGCCAAGTGGAGGAGGAGAGGAGATGAAGCAGCAGAAGTGGAATGGACAGAGGCTTCACTGGGCAGGGTCAGGAGTGTCCATCCACCCCGCCAGGCAAAGGGTTTGGCGATGCCAGGATTTCAAACCCCTAGAAATGCCAGGGTGGTAAGGATCTAAGGCAAGAAGTGAGCCAGTGCTGCAGAAACACCAGTTGTGTTCCGATAGCTTACCTTTATCACCTCATGTAGTCTTCACAGCCCCCTCTAGGGGGGTGGGACAGACGAGGAAGTGACAGGCCCAGAGCCATGCAGCTTGTTAGTAAGGACAGTTCCGAGTTCATGTGGTTTGTCTCCATAGCCAGGACGTTTGCCACCCCTAGCAGTGCTCGTCTGGGGGAGGAGAGCTCTGTTTTAAGTCTGTTCATTGGGATCCAGGGTCCCTGATGTACCTGAGGTCCCAAGTAAACCTGGGCACTGGCCTGGGTTGGGGGGTCAGTTGGGACACTCAGAAGCAGACAGACAGAACAGCAGCTCTGATATCCAGCCACCCATCTGTTAGCTGAGCAGTTACTGAGTGCCTGCCAGTGCAGGCAGGCTGTGTTCTAGATCATTCCAGTGGGGCGACGTGGAGGTCACGCCAGAACTCCATGTGTTCTGTGGATTAGCCTCTGGCCCTCATGACCTTTCCAAGGATGAGTATTCCCGTTTCACAGAGGAGGAAACTGAGGTTCAGAGACATTGAGGAACTTGCCCAAGGTCACACAGCTAGTCAGTGGGAGAACCACGATTCACACTCAGGTCTGTCTGATGCCACAGCCCATCTTATCCACAGTACGTGGTCAGAACATGCCGCAGTTCTGTTCGCAGGACTCAGTGATGGCTCGTTTCGCTCTCAGCCCTCCTTACTCAGCCTCCCTGAGGAGGAGAGCAGCAGGCTTGGTTATTACGCAGCACGTGTTTGGCCTCCGGTGTGCGCGTGTCTCCCATTCGGGTAATTTACCATCCTGCAAGCTAAGAACAAAGTCCCGTAGGAGAGGGCTGGTTTGCGGGTGCCCCACCTGCCCATTCCCGTGTCTCATGATGCCTGGAAGTTCACCTTCCTTTTCACCCGTCAGTCAGTCCCTCCCTGGCCTGAGGGAGGACGGCAGAAAGGTAATCACGTGCTTGACCTTAGGCCGTAACTCCTGATTATTCTTTCTGCAGCTGTAGCTCTTCGGTCTGTAAAATGTGACATGGAGTGGGGTCTTGGACTCTGGTATTCCACAGCTGGGTTTTGAACTGACCTCTACCCCTCACAAGCAGGTGACCTTGGACAAGTGTCTTGCCCACCCAGGGCCTCAGTTTCTGCACCTGTGAAATGGGGTCAGGGTTACTGTCCTCCCTGGGTCTTGGTGATAACTTAATAAATGACGCCCAGAAAATGCCTACTACAGAGCCTGACTCAGGGTAGGCGCCAAGCAGGTGTCACTCTCCTGACCACCCTTTTCCTCTGATCCGTAAGCCAAACTTTTTCTCAGGTTATGGGCCCATTTTAGAAACTGATTTAAAAAATAAATAAATCACTGGGGAAGGAGAATGTACTTTTCCACACTTTTTCAGGGGATTATCCAAACCTAAAAAGTTTAGCTATGGGCCTGCTAGGAAGCCACAGACCCAAGGTTCAAAGTAAATTATGATCACTTTCCTCATTTTATAGATAAAGGAACTGAGACCCAATGAGAATTCGGAAGAGGCAGGGCTGGAACTCAGGGTGTCGGATTCTGAGCCCCGTGCCTTTTCCACTGGCCCCGTGAATTGAGCAAGTCCCTCAACCTCTCACACCTCAGTCCCTTGTCTGTACAATGAGCATAACCTCTGGTTGTGAGGATCTAAGAGAGATGGCTCATGTAAAGCTTTTAGCACAGCGCCTGGCACAAGTAACTGTTCAATAAACGTAAGCTGCCGATAGCTTTAATTCCTGGGAACTGACCTGAGTGAGGAGAGGGAGACTGGCTGGGGAAGAGTCTAGGTTCCTGCAGGTCTAGAGACTCTGCCCTGATCCAGGCAGGATACAGATCAGAGTCTAAAACAATTTGTCTCACCCCATTTGCTAACCCCGGAGTTTCTCATGGGTGTGCTCCTCAGGCCAGGCTTTCATGTTCTTACGATGCCACTGCAATTGCTTAAATATAAACGGTGACTTTCCACTGGGGCAGGAGCATCCCTCCCCCACCCCGAGCCTCACTCCAGTTAGGGAGGCCCACGAATGAGGTGATGACGTTATTTCTGTGTTTTGTAAAAACACAAACTGTGGCTCTAGCTGTGAGGAGTTGACTCAGGTCACGCAGCTGGAACGTGACAAAACTTGGTTCCCACGCAGGTTTGTCTGAGCTCGGTCCGTGTTCTCTCAGGGGAAGCCAGTCACCCTTTGAATACAGCTGGTGGGGCAAAGCTTGTGGCCACAGAACCCCTTGGAGAGAATGACCAAGTTTGACCAAGATCCTGTTGGTGGGGGTGTCTGGGGTCAGGGAGCAGAGGGCGCCGGGAAGGCTCCGCCAGGCAGACTACAGGGAAAAGGTGGAAGGTGGGAGGCCCACGTGAGGGGAGACACCAGCCACTCACAGGGCCTGCAGAGTCTGGGAAGAGTGGGGCGTGGGGCATGGCAGCTGACACCCAGGGTATGGAGTAGGGCTGTAGAAATGAGAACCCCGTTTTTTTCACCGTACACACACACAAACACAAACCCAGGAGTCTTCAGCCTGCCAGGTACGTCCCTGCACCCTTCACTCAAGGAGCCTCTGCCTGTGCTTGCAAAACTGGGTCCCTGGGCACCTGTTCGGGGCCTTCCCCACTTTAAGGGGAACGTCTCTCCACGCTTAGGAGAGAGGCAGGCCAACTGCAGATGACCTGACCTGGACGCTTACGTCTGCCGTGTGCCAGCTCTGTGACCTCGGGCGGCCTGCTCCAGTTCCCCAGACACGTCTTCCTCACTTTTAAGCTAACTTGTTACGTCCAGTAGTTTTGAGGATAAATGAGGTGCCGTTTGCACAGCCTTTAGCACAGCACCTGGCTCAGAGAACGTGCACTTTCCTCGTAACTTTGACAAATGTGATGCCAAGCCTCCGTCTCAGTGTCCTCATCTGTAAAATGGGGTGACAGTCACTGCTTCACAGGCTGTCGTGAGGATCACGTAAAATCTCAGTGCCCCCAGCCCCAGGCCTGGCTCAAGGGAGGCGGCCATCCGGTAAATGTTCAGTGAGGGCACACTTGTCGGCGGTCAGTGGACGTACTTTGTTCTAGTTTCAGACTAAGTGGACACGTGTTGGGCTTCAGCAATCTGAAGTCCTTCCGAAAACATTTACGAAAAGTGCCTTCTTCCAGACCACAATATCAAGTCCGGCCAAGAAGCTGGTGGCAATAATTAGTCCCCCTTTATTCGGGGATCAGATTGTAAGTCTTCGTCAAGGGCAGAAATCTGGTCACATCTATCCTGGAGAACCCCTCAGAGCAGTGGCCCAGGTCCCCGGGAGGACGGCACTGAGCCGTTTCCTCACCCAGCCCGGGGACAGACAGCTGCTGCTTCAGCTGAGCACCAGACAAAGTGGTCAGCTTATGTTCCGGACCCCAGCTGTATGAATAGCGTTCACCCTTAAACACCCATCTTGGCACAGTGAGATGCTCATGCCTTGAGTGCTCGAGGGGACCAACAAAGAAGGGACGCGCGGGCTGCCACCTCGCCGCCTGGGGCAGGCCCTCGTGGAGAGCAGTGCGGCCGCATCACCGCACTGCTTCTGCCCTTGCTCTTCTCACCCCTCGCTCCGTCCCTCGGTCCCTTTTCCCGTTTTGTCGTGCGCTTGTGTGTGGGTGCGTGCCAGTCCCGTGAGCGAGCGAGGTTACCCTGCCGTGCATGTGTTGTGTGTTTTAATTTGCTAGCCGTCGCCATCTCGCTTAAAAACACGAGAGCCAGTTCTTACTGAACAGCAAAAATGTTTGCCATCATTCCTTGTTCTCCTCGATCTATCCTCTTCCCCCAGCTCCCACCACCAGATTTTATCCTAATGTATTTTGTGCTGGAGAATACTTACCACACTTCTCCTCACCTAAAAAAGGGTATCAACTCGAAGCTGACTTTGTTAACTTCTCGCATGGTTCCAAGTGTGAGAAAATATTTTGAAATGAGTCGCAATTACTATAAGTGCACAGTTGGTCAAAACAATATAAATATGGCAAGTGTAGAATGCAGTTATTGAACATGAAAAATGGAGTGCGGGTGTGGAAGTTGGACCACGCCTGTTGTGATCCTGGTCTTCAGACTGGAACAAAGAGACCCAGTTATCTGAGAGCGTGAGCCCCGGTCTGCGAGTGACGCTCAGCTGTTCCCTCCTGACTGGTAACACGGCCTGTGTTTCTGCTTCTCTCGATACGCCTGACTCCAGTGCCCATTGTGTGTGCGGGTTGCCGTGTGTCCTGTCTGTCTGTGTTCTGTCCATCCCCATTTTCACGGTGGCCCTTTCTCTTTTGGTTTCTGTCCTGTCCAGAACACACCATGGCCACGCCCCTGGAGGATGTTGGCAAGCAGGTGGGTAGGTCCCGTCCACTTCCTGTGGCCCTGACGGGTCTTTCCCAAGCCTCACGACGCCTGTCCTTCCTTGTCCCTCTCCCTCCAGGTGTGGCGGGGTGCCCTGTTCCTGGCTGACTACATCCTGTTCCAGTGGGACCTCTTCCAGGGACGCACCGTGCTGGAGCTCGGGGCGGGCACGGGGCTCACCAGCCTTGTCGCAGCCACCGTGGCGCAGACAGTGTACTGTACAGGTAATGCCCGCCGTCTCAGAGCACGCGCTGGCTGTGTGAAGGAGTGAGGGAGTGAAACCGGAAATGGGCCGTCGGCCGCTACTGACTCTGCCATCCTGTTCTGCTGGTCTTCTCCACCCTCTCTTGTGTTCCCGGTAATGTCAGGATGACCCAGCAGCACCCAGTCCTCGGCAGCCACAGCACCCAGCAGGCGCAGGGCCCACTTTGGCTTCAGAAGGTTCTAGCAGCTGTGCTGGTACCTCTGCTCACATGTCCATGAAAGAGCAAACATCTCAGAAAACCATGAGATGTGCCTAAGACTTAAAAACAAATTTGAGGGTTTTTTTCCCAGTTATGGAAACCTTGCTTACTCTTAGTGGAAAACTTGTAGAACAGCAAATAAAAATTACTCATAATTTTATAATCCCCAGATTCATTCAACCATATGCAGTTTATTGAGCACCTAGTATGTGCCAGACATGGCTCTAGATGCAGGAGTTCCAGGAGTGAATAAAGTAGATCAGGTTGCTGTCCTCAAGGAGCTTATGTTTTAGAATCTATATTTTAAATACGTACTTCTTTTACAATCTTTTTCTTTTGTGTGTTTATGCTCCCAAATAACATCTCAAAGCAAACAGTTTAGTGCTGTTTCCTGCCAAAAATACTGGAAAACATTTTTAAGACTATTTTCCCATGTCGTTAAAAATTATTTATAAATATGAACCGTCCAAATACTGTTTCTTTCTTTCTTTTTTTTTTTAACTGCATTTTGGTTATTCTCATATTTTTCTGGTGGGTTGTTTTTGTTTTTTTTGTTTGTTTTTACATTTGTCAGTTGCACTACAATGAGCACCTTTATGCAACTCTGTCAGTTAATCTTTATGCTAAAAACGGGTATGGCTTTTCTCAAGCTTTTAATACACATTGCCAAATGATTTATTTTTTAATTTTTAATTTTGAAATAATATTAGATTCACACAGAAGTTGCCAAAATATTACAGAAAGTGCCATCTACCCTTCACCAGCTCCCTCCAGTGATAACATCGTGCATAACCATAGTTAATGAAAACTAGCAAATCGATGAGTGCAGTGCCATCAACCATATACCCCAGACTTGCCAATGGTCTGGTTTATGAGAGTAGTATCTCCTCAGGTAGGTATTATATTTTAAGTCTTTAGTTAATTTGCTCGTTGAAAATGGTATCTGCTGATGTGGTTTGCGTTTCATGGATTCCTAGTTCACGTTTTCAATGGCCCGGGTCTTTTGCTCCTGAGATAGGAAGCGGGAAGCTAGGATCGCCTTGATTTGGGCAGACTTTTCAGATTTCCGGAGTGAATCATTGGTCAGGAGTCTGCAGGCCGCCACCCTACTCAATGCTCCTTGACAATTTCGTGTCGATTACCAGCGAGCACTTGGAAGCGTCAAGCCATAATACAGCACCCAAGAGCTGTGTTCTGTGCCTGCGGCCTAATAAGATATGATCCTGTCGTCTTATCGTGAGAGAGAGATTCACCAGGGTGACGAAGAGAGCTTGTGTTTAGATGGCACATTACAGTTAGCACAGCCTTTCACATGCGTGAGCACCTGGTCGTAACTTCGCGACCATTGCAGTCACCAGGGAGCGTGTTACCATCCCTTTGTCCAAATGAGCAGACTGAAGCTTAGGTCAGTTGGCTGGCCAAGGTCATAGGTGCTAAGCGGGGAAGAACAGCCCCAGGGCTCCAGGCTTCCCACCTTCACTCAGCCAGAGCTGCCCCTCTCGTCTGTTTCATATGTTAGCATCCCACACAAGATTCGTTTTGACAACAACTGTCAGAGGCTTAGAAACTTCTGAACCAGTCGTGTGCTATTAGGCACACACCACCAACATTCTCTTCACCCAATAGCCTAGCAGAAGGGACAGGTGTCCCCTCCATGAGCAGGGAGCTCCCCACCATTTACCAGGCTCTGCATGGTTCCTGGGATGGAGACAATGGTCTGGGCCCTGGGGAGTCTGCAGTGGGTGGCGTGGGGGCATCCACAGCCACAGTGGGCCAGGCAGGTGTCATTAACAGTAACTTTCAGTACCTTCCACACATACATTCTCCTGAAGGAAAATTAATTTTTGGCTAAGTGCTATATGCTCTTCCCCACTCCCCCAACCCCAAGCAAGGTTCCACTGCTTGATAGAACAATAGGGAGCCCCACCTGGTCAGAGTAGCAGAGGGCGCGGGGGAGACATGGGCAGCAGTGACAGTGAATCGTGCACCGGAGAGCGTACCTCCAGCCTGTTTGAATCTGCTCTGACAGAGACACTTGGGTTCAAACCCCAGCCTTTGCTCTCGTTAGTTATACGTGACTTTGCTCGAGTCTCTTCATTGTGAAATGGGAACCATGACACCGGCTCATTGTGGAGTTAAAAATGTATAAAAGGGGAGCTGTCACCCCTTCCCTCCAGAGTGCGCACAGAATCTGCGCCCACCAGGGTGATCGTCTTTTATTTAAAGAAAGGATCGTTAAAAAGAGCCTCGTGGCGAACGTAGTTAATTCTGGCAGTAAAACACACAGGAGACACTCCAGTTCAGCTGCACACATTTCTGCGGTCACGCTGTTGATACAGCTCTCTCCAGGCAAAAACACGGAGGCAAAAGTGTCACAATGGCTGGCACTTGATGGCATGCCCTTCTGTCGTTCCAGATGTTGGTGCAGATCTCTTGGCCATGTGCCAACAAAACATTGCCCTCAACAGCCACCTGACTGCTTCTGGAGGTGAGGCCCAGCGGGTCTTCTGCCTGGGAGGGAGGTGTCTCTGTTTGGCAGGTGGGACAAACATCCAGGACTGTGACCCTGGGAGACGGGAATCCGCCTGCTTCCACGTACACCCAGGTGAACGCAGGCAGCAGAGCAGTCCCAGCTTCCCGTAGCTTCCTTCCGGTCCTTCAGATCCGAGATGACTCTGTCCTTGAATCATCTTCCCACGCCCACCACTACGTCCTACTTCAGATCTCTCCCTGCTGGACCTCACAGTGGCCCACTACCTGGTCACCCCAGCTCCTTGTCTGACCCACCCAAGCTTCCTTTTCGTGTAGCATCCACAGTGACCTTTCTAGATGCAAGACCCTTTCCAGGAGTAAAGTCCAAGCTCTCCCTCTGACTCCCACACCTCCTAGTCTGGCCCCTGCCAGCTTTTCCTGCCTCCTCGCCTGACAGTCCCACTGTCCAGCTCTATAACCAACGAGCCAAGGACTTATTTCACATGCGCTTCCTTCCCTCTGCCCAGAATGTCTCACCCCTGCCATCCCCCACCCCTGCCATCTGCCTAATCATCAGGTTCCTGCACCGCCTGCAGGCATAAGCGTACATGATAGATGCCAGCAGCCAACTCCTCACTGGACTGCCTGCCCAGACTGTCCTCAGCCGAGCAGCCCTGGGCACCTTTTCCAGACTCAGCTCAGGTCACTCAGCTCACCAGAGGTTTCCCTTTGCTCTCCCAGTTCCTGGGCTTGTCCTGGGTCCTGCAGGTGCCGGCCCTGCCCGTCTGCGGCCCCTCCCCCACAGCGGCCCCTCCACTCCGGCCATCCCGGCCCTGCTGGAGGTTCCCTTCCCCTTGGGGCCTGTGCACTTGCTGTTCCCCTGCCTCTTCCTCCTGACGGTTCCTAATTATGCTCAGGTCTGCAGACTGTGAGGTCATAGTCCCCTAACAGATACCCATGACACCTTGAACCATTGCATTTGACATTTGTTTGTGCAACTAGTTGATTGGTGTCTGCCACCCCGCTAGACCACATGCTCCATGAGGGCAGGGGCCCTGTCTGTGTGTGGTCCCCAACGCCGAGTTGTTTACTGAACACCCAGCGTACAGTAGGCAGTCTGCAAGGACCGGGAGGAAAGAGCAGGTGTGCCTCGCCTCCCCCGAGCCTTCCCTGACACCCCCAAGAGCCCCTCTCTCGGCCTCTGCACCTGGCCACACTGCCTCGTCAATGTCTGCCAACTCGCCAGTGTCTCCTCCGCTGCGGGTCCCCAAGGATAGGCGCACGTCTCATAAATCTTTGTCTTCCCTATGTCTGGCACAGGACCCGATACTTAGCACTCAAAAAATGGTGGATGGATGGAAGGAAGGAAAGAAGGCAGAGGATGTATATGGATGAGTGGGAAGATGGATGGATAGGAAGCGGGGAGGGAGGGAGAGAGGTTAACGAGGGTGAGAAGATGGG